GTTTAAGCTTGTTTTCATCGTGGAGCGGTGCATCGAATGGCGGGCACTGTTTCCTGATAAATTACTTTTTTTTGCGAAAAATTCGCTGAACTTTGGAGACATCATTAATATAAATATAATTTTTATGGCTGTTAAATAATAAATGGTTTTTAGTAGGTCCGATGCTTGTTTAAACTCAACGGTTTGCATAATATCCACTATTGGTCTAGATTCGACCAATCCTGTCACGACATGAGTTGGTGATGACGTTTTACCTAATTATATGAGTTTTTTTAGTGTGTTTATACAAATACGGTCATGATTTTTTCGCCACTATATACGAATCCCCATTCCGGAACCCGTTTTATAGGCATCTACTGTATATCATAAAATGCAAAACATTTATGTTTCTTACAAATCATGCATTTTATAAACAGAAATGCTGGGCATTCACATTTGAATTGTCTCATTTCTTGAATGGGAGAAAAACATTATATGTATGTGTGTGTATATATATATATATATATATATATATCTGGCAGATTGTAAGCCATTATAGTAAAGTTTAAAAACTAACAATAAGATGTACAATAAATACACTGTCATTTATTTCTGATTATTTATACAAGTATTTTATCAAATATGCAAATCCAAAAATTCTATAATTTTTGCCTAATTAAAAAAATATTAAAAGTAAAAAAACTAAAAACAAAAAAAAAATATTTAAAAATTTTCAGAAATCAATGCCAGAACGATACCTGTTCAGCAGCCACCATTAATTAATGATCATTTAACAGACTATTATATGTGGCTCTTGTAGAATGTATTGTCTATTATGGCTTATAACCATTTGCTATAAACTTCTGAATTTTAAAACATCAAAAATTAATATTTGCAGGGTGCATTGGATGAAAAGCTCAGACACATATTCGCTCATTTTTTAATGTACTTTCACTATGTCCAAGCTGATCAAAATTGATGGATAATCAGCCATGTTCTCTCCTTGTGAGTGCCAAATGATCATGGGTGATCATTTGGTCTCTTACTACAGAGATAAAATGACCACCCATGGGCATTTTCATTGTTGGATTTAGTGCTACATACCCTGGTGGACATGACTTTTGTGTATTTTACTTATCAGTGATAGTGTTGGTTCCTTAAGCATATAGTGCTGGTGTTGGGTTGGGTATTAGAGCATTGCCAAAGAATAGATTTTTTGAAATACACAATAAATGTCTCAGATGAAGAAAGTAAGACACGTTAATTTAATGGAAATTGAATATATGAGGGCTATTTTTTAAATAAAGTCCGTTTGTGAATGAGAGTGAGAATGACGCGCAATTGCAGCAGTGTGCATGAGCATCTGCTTTCAGCATGCTTTGCATGTGTTTAGAGACCGTTTGCAGTTGTCTTGTCTGTCTGTGTGCTGAACTGTAGAAGTTTGTAATGTTTAAGAAAATTGAGTTGCCCGCCAACTGTAAGATATGATCTGTTATTCGATTTCAGCATGAAAGATCACGGCAACTGTCTTTTGGGACAGGAAAGGGACTGGGACTTTGTTAGTGGATTTTATGCCAACGATCAATTCTGATGCTTATTGTGATCTTCAGAAAACTCCAATGTGCCATACAAGACAAGTGGCGTGGCCTAATGTCTTCCGGTGGCAGGCAGCAGATTTCTTTAAAGTCGGAATTTTTAAATGTTTTGAGCAGTATGACAAATGCTTGAACAAAAATGGAAATTATGTATTAATAGAAAAGTAGATAAAAATATATAGAATATGGAAAAAAATATATATTAATGATATTTACAGTATTTTTCTTCTTATTAAAAAANTATATACTAGAGAGGGGAACAGAAGTCACTTTAAAAATTCAGCTTGAAACTTAAAAATGTATATTTGAAAATTGTGAATCAAATACAGCATAATATACAGTAGAAGTTTATTAATCTGGCACCTATGGGACCAGAGTTGTGTCAAGTTATTGAAAATGTCTGATTACCGGATATTTTTGTATTTTCAACATTCATATTTTAAAAATTTGCATGTACAAAATTTTATAGGTTATTTGTGATCTGAATTTTGCAGATATGCTGTATATTTTGTACCAGTGAAAGCATTCAATTCAACACAAACAAGATACTGTAACAAATTGAGTCCTTTTTCTTTATCATATTGCTGTTGATCCTATAGTTGCTATCCTGTCATGTAGCAGTGTGCATTGCTGCACCTCATCTTTGCCTGGATTTTTCATTTGCGGTTTTTAGAAGTCACATCCAAATAAATTTCAATTTGCAGAATACTGGCCTGCCAGATTATTATCAATCAATTCTGTATAATCACCTAATTTCAAATGGTATCAGATTAACAACTTTTACTGTTGTGAGGGTCACCGAATTGGCAGTATCCAAATGTCAGGACTTATCATATGTGGGATGAAGGAAAGTGAGGCAAATAGCTACAGTGACAAACAAACCCGTTTATTTATACTAAGTCTTACAATCTAGAGTGTTTTTGTCTTCTGGTGGCTCTGGACTGTTCAGTTGTTGGCCTCGGGGCAGTCAGTCGATGCTCAATGGTGTGGGAGGTTGTGACGAAGGGTGATAGCCCAAAGTTCAAACAGGATGGTGTTCACTCATGGAGGCAGGGAAAAGTCTGGACAGTTGACTACAGTTGTTAGCTGGGGAAAGTCTGAACAGTGGTTCACACTATCAGAGGCTGGAGAAATCTGGAAGAGGTCTCTACAGTTAACTTCACTAGGAGAAGCATGGAAAAAGTCTGTCTTTGTCTTTGAGATCCAAGTTTTTTAAGATATTCGCTTCCCCGGATCTCTAGCTTTTGATTGGTCGGTTTCCTGTATCTAAGCAGGTGACAGACCATTTCAGGCTACCAAAGGTTTAATTTGATACTGTGTTTTAATCCAATCAAGAGAAATTAATTGCACCTTGAAACTCCTGCTCGTATTTAATTGTTTCAAATTCTTATAAGTCTGACAAAATATCAGCGCTGCATCTCCTTTTAAGGTTATTTAAAAACTTTTTTTTTTCTCGATTAATAATTTTATTATTTCCTGATTTTATTTAGGTTTTTCTTCCAATTTTTACGAACATTAGAATCAAAGCCCGATCCCTTGATTTGACACCTTTATGATATTTTTAACATGTTAGCTCAAGTATCACTCGGGCCTCACACTGTATATAATATTTTTAATTGTTTAATTGATTTTAATCATTGTTGGCATTCATTCCTTTCCCCTCACAGAGGAATTGGGTCTTGACATTCTAGTTCTTCAAACTATTTTGCACTATCTCTTCATTTAACTGTAACTCCATTAAATCTTTCCTAACTGCTGGACAGAGTATGGAAATACAGAGATATAAATAAGTTTTTGAAATGAGTTCACTCTTCTAGACAGGCGTTATTGTAAGGTTTTTTCTACTGAACAAATGTCAGTTTTGTTTTGGCCAAGCCAATAAATCCTGGCATTAATAAGCTGTTCTAAAAGACATAAGATATGTATTATCCTCATTTCTATTTATATCTGTATGATGATTTATTAATTTCAATCATCATTCAATCTTAATCGTTAGACATGAACAGTGTGCACTATGTGCTTGCATGTGATATAATTTACTATACAATAAGTGCACTGTGGTTGTGGAATATAGTTTAATTGATGATATTAATGCTGTGCCCAGTGAACTGAATTGTATTAATGCTTACAGGCCAGTGAATAATCTATATATATAAAAATGAATGTATGTGTGTGTGTCCTTCATGCATTACCACACCGTTTATCCAATTGCCGTGAAACTTTGGGAAGTTGTTTAATATACTCCAGCGAAGGTTTGTGGCATAGTACAATTGCCATGAAGCTTTGGGAAGTTTTTTTTTTTAATACACTCCCGCGAAGGTTTCTGGCATTTACCCTACGATAGATGGTGTGCGTTTACACGAGCATTTGAGCACAGTGTGTTCATTCGATTTCAAATTGTGAAGATCATTTCCCCCCTCCAAAAAATATCTCTATATATGCATTTATTATTTACGATATTTGTTATAATTTTTGTTTAATCACTTTATTTCATCTTTTTTTTTGCTAATTATGTAATCGCTCGAACTTTGTTAAAGCCTTAACTGTATCATGAACAACAACCGAAGTTGTAGAAGGAAATTCGCCTATTTTACCGATCTAGGGATCCCCCTTTTCCAAATTTTAATATCAACTCAAAATAATTTAAAAAGACAAATTACAATAAAACAGTTTATTATCCAACTATGAGAAATTTCACAACACGCCAAGGAAGAGAGGGAGGAGCAATTAAATATTCAAAATTATGAAGGATTAAAAAATATATATAAAAATGGGGAATATCGCACTTCTAACAATCTCTGCGAGTATGTGGGCTAAATTTAAAGAATCCGTGCTTCTCGCTTGGACAACTGTATGTGGCCAACTCATGCGTCGGAAAACCTTTTGATTTATTCGTGTATGTACCAGACGGAAAAACAAAAAATATCGTGTATCCACAAAGCACTCCAATAAATAAATAAAATTGAAACGACACTTTGAAATGTTTTCCTGATGAAAATGAATAATAATAATAAGTTTCAATGAAAATGATAAAATGTAAATTGAATTTTATCATAACGAGTTTGCTTGAATTTCCTTTCTTCTGAGATCGCAGCAATGCGCGACGGGTAAGCTAGTATATCATAAATGCTTCTTCAAATTATCTGTTTTACACCTACATTTTATAAACTTTAAAAGATATATACTGACTTACTTTTCTAAATATTACTGAAAATTATAAAGTAATCATAACAAATAATTTGAGATGTAGGTACAATAAAAGGTTTAAAATAGGAGTACAAACATTGAAAAATACTTTTGGATTAACCCAATGTTTAAATAAATTTTGATAACTTTAGTTTGTATAATTATGATTTTATTGTAAATTTTAAATTATTTTTGAAAATTATGTAAATTTTTTAATTAATTCTATAAATTTAAATATAGGTTTTGAATTTATTGTGGAATTTGGCCCACAGTGATGATGTTCCAACAGATATTATGGACCAAGCTCTTTCTGCACATGTTAAAATATTGGACTACAGTTGTTCTCAAGTGAGACCAAAGTGTTACAGTTGATTATTAAAAATATAATCTTGTTTTATGCATTTAAATATTTATGGTAAAACTATTTATGTAGGACCGAGATGCTCAAAAAACTCATTGGTTAGATAGATGTGTAGAAGAATTAAAAGGAGATAAATGGGTCCTTCCAGCTTTGAAACAAATTAAAGAAATTTGCTGTTTATATTCAGAAACACCTCCAAATTTTAATCACCCTCAGAGATCACCTCATATATTGTGTAGACATCAAATTATTAGTAGATTGCAACAACAACATTCTTTAGTTATTTTAGTGGCTGATAATCTCACAGCTTATATGAAGAAAGCTCACTTAATTGCTAAAGGTAATTATGATTTACTAAATTTAATTTTTTTATATGTACGTGAAAAAGCTAATAGCTTATATTTCAGAAGTAAGAATTTTGATGCATTAAAATTTTCAGTGTAAAGTTATTTTACTATAAATTGATGATTTAGTAAATAAAAAATCCAATTCAATCAACATAATTTAATTCAAAATTTTTGGTTAATATAGCAACTTTTAGTTACTTTACAAAACATTTATTATTCAAATACTGTTGACTCTCAATTTTATGGATTCCAAGATAAAGGATTTTGGAAACAACAGATCAAACCATTTGTTCCAAGACATCTGTTGGAATGGAATTACAGAAAGTGTTTATTTGGTTGAAAAGAGAATATTTGACTGCTGATACATAGCTGTTATATCGAAAATAAAAAGGATTGATTGATATAAACATCATACTTGCATACTTTCATTAAAAGGGTTGAATGGAAAAATGGTATATCCCACATTAAGAAGTATTCAAGAAAAAGGAAAATTTGTGTTTTAACTCACCACCATTTTAATGTACAGTGCTTTATTAATGCGAATGTACAACCTGTAGAGCATGCAACTGTACCATGAAAGTTTCTTGGAAGATGGATTGATGATGCATAAATCCAAATTTGTTAGTAATTGATTTTTTGTATTTTTGTGGGATTTGCCATTTTCCACTCAGTCCTTTATTTGTTAGAAGTATCAGTAGTGATGCTTCTATCTTGGTGCTTCAAATAATATATACATTATATATTAGTTATATTATGTTTTTTCATGTCTTAATCAACTAGGGTTATTTAATTTTATTATTTTTGATAGCAAATGTACTAAAATAATCCAGAAGTGTTAAAATAAGTAAAATTGCTGAATACAGATTGAGAGAGCTGTACAGAAGGAAATACGTGTCTTTAATGAAAAATCACAATTATGATAATATGTGTATATGTTATACACTGAATGATCACTAAATTAGGAACACCTTCCTAATAATGGGTTGATCCACCTTTCTCAGTGATCATGGTTTGCAAACACCCAGGATGGATGCTATAAGATGCCAAACATCCTCTATTCCTAACTGGACATATGCCTCAATCAGTTTTATCAGTTGGTGTACATTTTGCAGAGGAGTGAGTGACAATCTCACCACACATTCCATCATATCTCAATCGTGTTCAATAATATTGCAGACTAGTGAGTTTGGGGGCAAATACAGGGCATGAAATTCATTGCAGTGTTTTTCCAACCATTCTTGTCTGATGACATGTGCATTATTATGTTGAAACATGATATCTTATGTCAGGAAACATAGCATGGAGATATGGATGTGGATGATTTCCTAACAGGTCCTTGTATCATTCACCATTTAAGGATTGTGGAATGACAAGCAATGGTCCTAGTCCTTGCCAAGAGAATATTCCCAGACCATGATAACCCCACCACCAGCTTGTTGAATCCAACTGTGCAACCAGGGGATATGGCTTCATGCTGTTTACACTAGATTCAGATGTGGCCATCAGTGTGGTTCAGCATGAAACTGGACTCATCACTCCAGACAACTTTCTTCCACATGTCCAGGGTCCACTGACAATTTTCCTCACCCATGCAAGGTGTTGTTTGCAGTAACACATGGTCAACAAAGAAACCTCTTCAGGTTGATGGCTAGTTTTAAAGTGTTAAAATAAAATATGTTATTTTATTTTAACACTTTAAAAATATTTTGAAAATAAAATATCTTATAATAAATATTGTGATAAAACAGAAGAAATGAGAAGATTTTTACCATGGACTTATCTTGAATACTTGTGCTTAACTTTAATTATTCTTGAATTAAGCAAGATTAAGTTAGTTAGTTTTCATATTAACATTTAATTATCTAAAATGTAAAATATCATAATACTATCAATTTTTATTGTAATTATATACTGAAATTGCAAATCTTAATGATGAATATAAAATAAAAAATTTAAAGACACTTGCAATATTGATGATTTTGTTTTTGTTAGGATAAGCTGATAGTTTATTCAGTTCCAGTGTATTGCATTAATATAATATTAAAAGCTTTATTAATATAATTTTGTATGATTTTAAAATTTATAAAGTGTAATAATTGTTAGTGTTCTGTTAATATTGTATTGTAAATAATAGTTTTAGACATGACATTTCATTAACAAGAACATATAAATACAAAATCATATAAAGCAGGCTACTGAATAGAATGCTATTTATTAATTGCAAAATATCACTATTGTTACTCTCTATAACATTTATAATTTGCTTTAATTATTAGTATTGTACAGCATATCCAAATATGTTTTGCATTCCTCTAGATCAGGGGTCGTCAAACTTTTTTGATCGTTGACACCCTACAACTTTTTGAAATCTTGCATCGACTCCCACCAAAAAGTTTGTTAGAAGTAAAAAAAAGCTCTTACTATTTTAATATATATCTTTTAATTTTACATATTTTACATTCATTGTACTGTACATATGTTAATCATTTTTGTAACTGACAATCAATGAGACAGATAAGCTTGATAATCCTTAGCAAGATTAGGAATATTCAGTTCAAAATTTGTAAGTTTTAGTCTTTTCATCAACCCTCCCAATAATGTTATATCAACCACTTTGGCGACCCCTGCTCTAGATCAATGGTTTTCAACCTTTCTGAGGCACATGCCATTTATATATTTTTTTTATTATGCAGAGCATTAGCATCAATATATTCAAAAACCAATAAGCAATTTGATGTTAACTAGTCTCACAAAACAAGGAAACAATAACCTAATAAACTTTATGGTATTGAATAAAATAGAAACATGGAATTGTGTACAAATAAAGTAATATATTATAGTACATTGGAATATATTTGTTATAAAAGCTTCAAAATCTTTTTTCATAGAACACTTGAGGCAATTGAGAACACTATTCTAGATGGTATGTCAGTTATCAATTGAACTTAAGTTACAATATGTATTAAGTCTTATTGATGATACTATTTATATTATTAGAAAAATTACTTTTATAAAATATTTTTTATAGTTGTAGTTTTTCTTACAATGTAAATTTTTTATGAAGAAATAATTATTTAATTTTTATTAAATATCTCAATATATTTTGTTTTAATATTTGATAACATGCAAATTGTATAACTGATTTTTTTTTTTTTTTTTTAATTTTAAAAATCTGTTTTAAAACTCTTATTATGTAATTTCCCAAATTATGAAAAAATTTTAAATGAAAAAATAGTAATAATAATAATTGAATGAAATAATATATGCTAAAATTTATTATTTAGAATATCCAGATTTGGATCCAAATACTATTTCTCCAAGTAGCAGATATAGTCATATGCAACAAGTTATGGAACGTTTAAATTTTTTAAGGTAACAACTTTTTGCATAATTTTATTTTAATCTTAATTTCTTTAAATTTACATTAATTTCTCACAGTAAATATATTTATTTTTATAAATTTAGTATAAATTAATGTTTAATAAAATAGTTTTATCAATTGTGTTTCATAAGAAATGTTTGCTTATAATTGTTTTGAAATATGTTACCAAACTGCATCTATATATTTAAAAGCAAACAAAGTCACTTAGTTCAAACACTTCCTATTGATCAATTTTGTAAATGACATCTCATATTAAACCTCTTGACCTCTAGATATACAGAAGATTATAAAACTTTGAATATATATATCAAGTGTATCAAATTTTCAGCAATTTTTGATCAGTCAAATGACTAATAATACCATAATTTAGTCTGTTATTAGAATCTTTTGTGTTGTATGATAATTTTTATTTGAAATTAATTAGTTTAATGTGTAAATTTCATAAAAAGAATAAAGCTTCAAATATATTTTAAATGCTTATTTTTTTAAAAAAATTTATATTTTGTCACATGACTGTGATATCACATGCTTCACTTTGATATTATTATGCATAAGAAAGCTGTTTAAAATGTTGAATTTGTTACATATTTTATTTTATTCATTAAAATTATTTGATGTTTAACTATTAAGCATTGAGATCTGAAGTATCTACTAGTGAGGGCATTTGGTCTACATCATTGTGGCAACATGGAAATCTTTTATTGCTTTGTTAAATATCTATTTTAAATTTAAAGTTAATAAGTTATTACTTTCTTTGCTTTCAAATAATTGATTATCAGTTTGTTGGATTATATACAGTTGACCCCCCATAACACGGTAGATATGTTCCACTTTTTATGAAATTCATGTTCTATGAGTCCTTAAATACATGAGCCAATTACAGCCTGGCACATATGCAGTTTATGGACTACAGCTGTTTGAAAGATTTTCTTCCATAAAGTTAATCGATTCTAGACTAATTTGACTCAACATTTCCAAAACACGTATAATTTTTTGGGAATAATCCATATAAACTATGCTATAAACAAAAAATTGTAGGATTACTTACCGAGTGTGCATCGTTCGACAACGCCATTGTTTAAGCTTGTTTTCATCGTGGAGCGGTGCATCGAATGGCGGGCACTGTTTCCTGATAAATTACTTTTTTTTGCGAAAAATTCGCTGAACTTTGGAGACATCATTAATATAAATATAATTTTTATGGCTGTTAAATAATAAATGGTTTTTAGTAGGTCCGATGCTTGTTTAAACTCAACGGTTTGCATAATATCCACTATTGGTCTAGATTCGACCAATCCTGTCACGACATGAGTTGGTGATGACGTTTTACCTAATTATATGAGTTTTTTTAGTGTGTTTATACAAATACGGTCATGATTTTTTCGCCACTATATACGAATCCCCATTCCGGAACCCGTTTTATAGGCATCTACTGTATATCATAAAATGCAAAACATTTATGTTTCTTACAAATCATGCATTTTATAAACAGAAATGCTGGGCATTCACATTTGAATTGTCTCATTTCTTGAATGGGAGAAAAACATTATATGTATGTGTGTGTATATATATATATATATATATATATATCTGGCAGATTGTAAGCCATTATAGTAAAGTTTAAAAACTAACAATAAGATGTACAATAAATACACTGTCATTTATTTCTGATTATTTATACAAGTATTTTATCAAATATGCAAATCCAAAAATTCTATAATTTTTGCCTAATTAAAAAAATATTAAAAGTAAAAAAACTAAAAACAAAAAAAAAATATTTAAAAATTTTCAGAAATCAATGCCAGAACGATACCTGTTCAGCAGCCACCATTAATTAATGATCATTTAACAGACTATTATATGTGGCTCTTGTAGAATGTATTGTCTATTATGGCTTATAACCATTTGCTATAAACTTCTGAATTTTAAAACATCAAAAATTAATATTTGCAGGGTGCATTGGATGAAAAGCTCAGACACATATTCGCTCATTTTTTAATGTACTTTCACTATGTCCAAGCTGATCAAAATTGATGGATAATCAGCCATGTTCTCTCCTTGTGAGTGCCAAATGATCATGGGTGATCATTTGGTCTCTTACTACAGAGATAAAATGACCACCCATGGGCATTTTCATTGTTGGATTTAGTGCTACATACCCTGGTGGACATGACTTTTGTGTATTTTACTTATCAGTGATAGTGTTGGTTCCTTAAGCATATAGTGCTGGTGTTGGGTTGGGTATTAGAGCATTGCCAAAGAATAGATTTTTTGAAATACACAATAAATGTCTCAGATGAAGAAAGTAAGACACGTTAATTTAATGGAAATTGAATATATGAGGGCTATTTTTTAAATAAAGTCCGTTTGTGAATGAGAGTGAGAATGACGCGCAATTGCAGCAGTGTGCATGAGCATCTGCTTTCAGCATGCTTTGCATGTGTTTAGAGACCGTTTGCAGTTGTCTTGTCTGTCTGTGTGCTGAACTGTAGAAGTTTGTAATGTTTAAGAAAATTGAGTTGCCCGCCAACTGTAAGATATGATCTGTTATTCGATTTCAGCATGAAAGATCACGGCAACTGTCTTTTGGGACAGGAAAGGGACTGGGACTTTGTTAGTGGATTTTATGCCAACGATCAATTCTGATGCTTATTGTGATCTTCAGAAAACTCCAATGTGCCATACAAGACAAGTGGCGTGGCCTAATGTCTTCCGGTGGCAGGCAGCAGATTTCTTTAAAGTCGGAATTTTTAAATGTTTTGAGCAGTATGACAAATGCTTGAACAAAAATGGAAATTATGTATTAATAGAAAAGTAGATAAAAATATATAGAATATGGAAAAAAATATATATTAATGATATTTACAGTATTTTTCTTCTTATTAAAAAACGGGCCTTATTTAAAAAATAGCCCTCGTATTTATATTTCATTTTGTGTTTGAAAATAACTGAGACAGAATTCGAATATCACACTTTTAACATATTTTGCTCACTTTTGGCATGTTTTCTGGCATGAGTAGCATCATATTGCCAACTGAAATTTTTATAATGAATCGCTTTTTGATCACACTGTTTCTGCCCTAAAGCTTCCTTCAATAAGTAAATTTGATTTGATCTAGAAAATACATTTTACAGGTGTTTTTTCTTCCTGGATATCAAAGCCACTGGTGTTTGATGTTCACAGTGGACACATGGTCGAAGTAAGCAAAAATTGTCTGTGGGATATTGTGCCCACCTACAGTCACTTCCAAAAGTACACTTTTTCCACAAAAACAGATGACAAACATTAAAATAGCGAAAGTAAAATACATTAGTCATGATTTAAAACTGAAAAAAGTTTGGTCCTAGGTTCATATAAATGTTTTATTGCATGGTACTTAATGTATTAAAAAAGTTTTGTAGTGTACTTTAAATTTTTATTCAATAAAATATTGTTCTTAGTAGCTGTTTGATTTAGTCACATCATGTAATCTGCCATTTGGATGGACAAATTTACTAGGCAGTTTATGAACATAGAAAACTTTCTTGACGACATTGTGCATCTTTATTAAATAGTAAATTAATATGAATCAAATAGAATATTTTATTTGTGAATTAGAAATTTATGTTATGAGATCATTATACAAATAAATAATATAAATAATAATGCTATATTGCTGAACATTTATCCTTCATTATACTTTGATAGCTACTTTTTTCTTACTGAATTTAATATTTTAATATTAAATTCAAAAGCATTAAATTTCATAGATTTTGTAAAGACTGTGCAATAAAAGATTACAGTTTGCTGTTTTTATAATAATGCATGAAATAAGAAATATGCAAAGATTTTTTGCTTGAATGAATACAGAAAAATATTTACAAAAAAGGAAATCTCATTTGTTGTATTGATTAGACCAGTGTTTCTCAACCTCTAACAAATCGTCGCCCCCCTTCAACGTAGTATCGCCCCCTTCACTTCAAAATTCTGATGCTGAGGGCCAGGTCTAACGCCAAATTCGTACTGCGTTGAATAGACTAGTGACTAGTATAATGTTATTTGTTTAATTATTGTATGATATAACGAATAAAATAACTAATTAATCTTAATATAATGTTTTACTATATCGCCCAGAAAATTGTTTTTCGCCCCTCAAAATATAAATTGTTACAAATCGCCCCTCAACATGGAAAAACGCCCACATGGGGGCAATATCGCCCCCGTTGAGAAACACTGGATTAGACCCACAAGTATCTGAAAGACATAGCAGTAAAGAGTAATGCCCATAAAAATGTATGGTATATAAATTATTAAATGTAGTAATTAGGTTATAAATACATTTTAAAAAATGTACATATTTATTCTGAATTATTCTGTTGTATAGGTTTCTATTAAAAGATGGACAACTATGGCTATGTGCACCTCAAGCAAAACAAGCAAGTATTATTACTGATATGTTACTTATAGGAAATCCAAAAATATATAAATAAGGTTACAAAAACTAATCTTATTTTGAAAAAGAAAACTATTATTGTGAATTTTATTAACTTGTAATTTTACATTTAATTTTAATATTGAACTTAAAATTAATTTGTAGATTGTTTTGTTGATAAATTATATTAATTTTATCTAACATGATGCTTTAGACTTTGTTTATATAAAATGAAATCAGATGATTATGGTAAAGTAATTTAAAATAGCAGACTTCAGAAGAAATTTGTAAAATTATAAAAATATAAACATTAGTATAAGAAAAATTTTAGAAAGTACTGAAAAACCATTATAAAATATTAACTGTTAAATAAATTATTATGATTTTAGCAGTAGCAAATATTCTTAAATCATTACTAAAACTGTATAAAAATTTTCCTATAGAAAATAATAATATTTTTAATTGCTAATGTTTTAGTTTACAGAATGCTTTTATTAGTTTGGATATAGTTTGTATAAAATGGCAAAAACAGTCTATTTAAAAATTATCAAGACTAAACCTCTAAAAATGTTTAAATAGTTTGAAGACAACAAAATTTATTATATAATAAATGTGTTTCAGAACTTACATTTTTCATTTACTTATTACCATTGTTATAAACAAAGAAAATAGAATTAAAAATTAATTTTAAATCAAATTTAAATTTCATTATAGCATGTTCCTGTTAGAGTGCAGTGAATGCATTGAGTATTGTTAATTAATCAAGCATACAGTCACTCACTGAAATTAAAATTAATTTTAAAAAAAACAACAAAAAATACTTGTATATGTTGAAACTATTGAAATGTGGACATAAGGAATGTATAAATATGGTAGATAATGTTTTAAAACTCTAGGTATGTTAGGATCTATATTTAAGGGTTTGAGTGATAGACATTTCTTCTTATTAATTTAATGGTTTTTAGATTATTATGATCTTGAGTTCTTTTGCTGTTATAATTACTGATTGTATTAACTGAAGTTCACAATGTATGTGATAAACTTTTTTATTATAAACAGTAAAAACTGCTTAGGCAACCACCTGCATTCGATGGACACCTGTCAAAATGGACAAAAATTTCTGGCATGGAATAGTTTATACATAGAGTCTTTGTATAAGTTACTTGTATTAAACAACCACCTGTGTAATGCAACTGCAGGCATCGATTTTTGGTCCAAAACAACATACAACAACTGTAATAAGCGGCCACTTCTGCAACTATATCTGGTCTAAACTATTTTTCGAACCCATCTCAAAAACATTTTCCCTTCCTAATATAATGAATTAGTCTAAACCAGGGGTCAGCAACCTTTTGAGTCGGAAGAGCCAAAAATTACAATTTACAAAATTTCAAATTTTTAAAGAGCCACAAAATTTTTTCTTGCCAACAATAAATAGTACTCGCATAAATAAAGTTTTTTGATTAAAAAACTAATCTATTTATTCATAAGAAAAAATATCTATTTATTCATATATAAGTAGTGTTTTTCACAACAAATTAGATAATATATATATGGCATTATTAGATAATTACTTATTATTTAAGTAAATTATTACTACAATTAAACATTTACTTACAACACTAACTTGTACTTCAATAACAAACAATTGAGCAAACAAATTCAATGGATGCGTTGGCTTTGCATGGTTTTAGAAAGTTTGGATAAATTTGGCTCATAACTTGTTGTTTTAAGTTTCAAACACGACTCTAAATTTTCATTTTTTAGTTGGCTTCTTACTTTACTTTTAATTATATTCATGCAAGAGAACGCTTGCTCGCATGAATATGTCGATCCGAAGATAGTCAGCACTCCAAATGCCAACTTCTCTTCTCTTTTTTTTTTTTTGTAGATGCCATGCTTGGGGTGAAGCTGTAATAAAGAATTTTTGGATCAATGGTATTATCTCCCCCCAGAAAATATCAATGCTATTATTTCCCCCCAGGATAAAATGTCAAAAATATAAAGATAAAAATTATATAAATAAGTTTAAGAAGTCTTATTAGTCAATTAATTTCAATACACTCACATATTTTAAAAATCTCGTTTCCTATGAAGTGCTCTCTCCACATAAACTCAGCTAAATAAGGTCATTTTAAGGAATCATAATTATTTTTTAGAAAATATCAATGGTATTATTTAGGTATCCAAAATAACAGATGACAGGTTTTGCAATTATTTACTATGTCAACGTATACCTAAGTAAATACATACGTGAAGCTAGGCATAATGAAATATAATTTGTCAAAAAACATTTTACAACGATATTTCCCAATTAANTTAATGTTTAATAAAATAGTTTTATCAATTGTGTTTCATAAGAAATGTTTGCTTATAATTGTTTTGAAATATGTTACCAAACTGCATCTATATATTTAAAAGCAAACAAAGTCACTTAGTTCAAACACTTCCTATTGATCAATTTTGTAAATGACATCTCATATTAAACCTCTTGACCTCTAGATATACAGAAGATTATAAAACTTTGAATATATATATCAAGTGTATCAAATTTTCAGCAATTTTTGATCAGTCAAATGACTAATAATACCATAATTTAGTCTGTTATTAGAATCTTTTGTGTTGTATGATAATTTTTATTTGAAATTAATTAGTTTAATGTGTAAATTTCATAAAAAGAATAAAGCTTCAAATATATTTTAAATGCTTATTTTTTTAAAAAAATTTATATTTTGTCACATGACTGTGATATCACATGCTTCACTTTGATATTATTATGCATAAGAAAGCTGTTTAAAATGTTGAATTTGTTACATATTTTATTTTATTCATTAAAATTATTTGATGTTTAACTATTAAGCATTGAGATCTGAAGTATCTACTAGTGAGGGCATTTGGTCTACATCATTGTGGCAACATGGAAATCTTTTATTGCTTTGTTAAATATCTATTTTAAATTTAAAGTTAATAAGTTATTACTTTCTTTGCTTTCAAATAATTGATTATCAGTTTGTTGGATTATATACAGTTGACCCTTCCATAACACGGTAGATATGTTCCACTTTTTATGAAATTCATGTTCTATGAGTCCTTAAATACATGAGCCAATTACAGCCTGGCACATATGCAGTTTATGGACTACAGCTGTTTGAAAGATTTTCTTCCATAAAGTTAATCGATTCTAGACTAATTTGACTCAACATTTCCAAAACACGTATAATTTTTTGGGAATAATCCATATAAACTATGCTATAAACAAAAAATTGTAGGATTACTTACCGAGTGTGCATCGTTCGACAACGCCATTGTTTAAGCTTGTTTTCATCGTGGAGCGGTGCATCGAATGGCGGGCACTGTTTCCTGATAAATTACTTTTTTTTGCGAAAAATTCGCTGAACTTTGGAGACATCATTAATATAAATATAATTTTTATGGCTGTTAAATAATAAATGGTTTTTAGTAGGTCCGATGCTTGTTTAAACTCAACGGTTTGCATAATATCCACTATTGGTCTAGATTCGACCAATCCTGTCACGACATGAGTTGGTGATGACGTTTTACCTAATTATATGAGTTTTTTTAGTGTGTTTATACAAATACGGTCATGATTTTTTCGCCACTATATACGAATCCCCATTCCGGAACCCGTTTTATAGGCATCTACTGTATATCATAAAATGCAAAACATTTATGTTTCTTACAAATCATGCATTTTATAAACAGAAATGCTGGGCATTCACATTTGAATTGTCTCATTTCTTGAATGGGAGAAAAACATTATATGTATGTGTGTGTATATATATATATATATATATATATATCTGGCAGATTGTAAGCCATTATAGTAAAGTTTAAAAACTAACAATAAGATGTACAATAAATACACTGTCATTTATTTCTGATTATTTATACAAGTATTTTATCAAATATGCAAATCCAAAAATTCTATAATTTTTGCCTAATTAAAAAAATATTAAAAGTAAAAAAACTAAAAACAAAAAAAAAATATTTAAAAATTTTCAGAAATCAATGCCAGAACGATACCTGTTCAGCAGCCACCATTAATTAATGATCATTTAACAGACTATTATATGTGGCTCTTGTAGAATGTATTGTCTATTATGGCTTATAACCATTTGCTATAAACTTCTGAATTTTAAAACATCAAAAATTAATATTTGCAGGGTGCATTGGATGAAAAGCTCAGACACATATTCGCTCATTTTTTAATGTACTTTCACTATGTCCAAGCTGATCAAAATTGATGGATAATCAGCCATGTTCTCTCCTTGTGAGTGCCAAATGATCATGGGTGATCATTTGGTCTCTTACTACAGAGATAAAATGACCACCCATGGGCATTTTCATTGTTGGATTTAGTGCTACATACCCTGGTGGACATGACTTTTGTGTATTTTACTTATCAGTGATAGTGTTGGTTCCTTAAGCATATAGTGCTGGTGTTGGGTTGGGTATTAGAGCATTGCCAAAGAATAGATTTTTTGAAATACACAATAAATGTCTCAGATGAAGAAAGTAAGACACGTTAATTTAATGGAAATTGAATATATGAGGGCTATTTTTTAAATAAAGTCCGTTTGTGAATGAGAGTGAGAATGACGCGCAATTGCAGCAGTGTGCATGAGCATCTGCTTTCAGCATGCTTTGCATGTGTTTAGAGACCGTTTGCAGTTGTCTTGTCTGTCTGTGTGCTGAACTGTAGAAGTTTGTAATGTTTAAGAAAATTGAGTTGCCCGCCAACTGTAAGATATGATCTGTTATTCGATTTCAGCATGAAAGATCACGGCAACTGTCTTTTGGGACAGGAAAGGGACTGGGACTTTGTTAGTGGATTTTATGCCAACGATCAATTCTGATGCTTATTGTGATCTTCAGAAAACTCCAATGTGCCATACAAGACAAGTGGCGTGGCCTAATGTCTTCCGGTGGCAGGCAGCAGATTTCTTTAAAGTCGGAATTTTTAAATGTTTTGAGCAGTATGAC